TCTTTATTTAATTGTGATTACAATTTAGTGTGTTCAACTTTCTCGTTTTAATATATTCTTTAAAAAATCTCCATAAAACCCCATAGAATGTAAAGGAATCTTTTTATAAAACAAATAGTTCCATAGTTGATCTTAACCAAGATATTTCTTCTGAACTGGTATAAAATCTAATTTATTTTTTAATGTTCTAAATCGATGTTTTTCAAGCACCAGTTACATCATTTTTTGAACGTAACAGTATAAACAATAATCAGAGTAAAAATCAAATAATGCGAGTTAACAGTGGTTTTTTTATATTCAAAATAACCTATAAAGTGTCTTTCAGATACATTTTATGTGTGGCTTGCTGTAGAACCCAAGATATGAGTTTGGTCCTACTTGGGACTCATCAACTGAATATACCACTATCGAACTGTATCTGTTTTCATGGAGGATCAAACTCAGTGTCTTTCACTTCAAACTCCCATTATATTATTCACTGGGTTGCCGGGTTCAAATAGTCAAGTTTTCATTCTTTTAATGTTTTCTTTAACATAATGTGAAACATATTTAAGCACTGGCAAGACTATAATTTATGGACGATATTTGAGCAACTTTAAAATGACCTTGGAATGTCCACCTGATTAATTGGGTTAAATCAGTGTTATAGATTTTGGTGAAAAATGACAATTAGGATTTAGAGTTGATGGTTAGAATTAGGAATTAGATTCAAATTTTCCATCACGTACTGATATCATCTATAGTGCCGAAATGGTATTTAACTAAATGAGTGAATGAATTTCGCGCCAAAATGCAAGATCTGTTATCTTAAATCTGATTGGTTCGTCTATAAATTATAATCTCGCCGAAATCGATTTTAATTTTTAACATAGTTTGTTACTGTCTTTACATGAATCGAGATTAAAGCAACCAAATTCTGGGTTCTAATGAGTATAAACTTTTTTTTAAAAATTTTTTACAAGATATTTGTTGCATTATTAATTAGTAATTTATCTGCTACATAAGGATTGCATAATTAACTGTAAACCTGAAATTCTTCGATGACAGAAGTTTATATCATTCAATGCCAGTTTTTCTTCACCTATGAAACATTTTAAAAAAAAATCGATCAATATAAAAGTCTCATTGAACATAATTGATTACATCATAAATTTAGAAGATTACTTCTTCTTCTTCTTCTTCTTCCAATAAATGAACACTATTGAAACTTGTTAGTTTTAAATTCTTTATTGTGTCATTCGTTACTTTATTCAGAGATCTTAGTAGACTTTTGAAAGTTTAAACAACTATTATTTTCAAAGATGGATAGTGGCTAGCAGTGGAATCCAGGACGCGCGTTTCGTTCTATTTTGGACTCATCGGCTTGATGTACTTGCATCTATTCTTTTCTCTTTGTTTTCCAATATTTCTATGGGTGTCTGTGTGATATTCTAAATTTTGATGATTTGTTCGACTTCAGATAAAATTGTTTTGTTTTTGTTTGTTTTTCTCTAATGTAAAATCATTCCATGTTATATCGATCTACTAATTTATGTTTTAAAGACAAGAGAAACATAGTTCAGTTGTTACGAGCCTTGAATTAAAATTTCAATGATAAAATTAAACGAAATAGCAATTCTGATTATGGATCTTAAACTTTCACTTAACATATTAGCTAATCCAAGTTAACATTCTGTACAAGTCATATCCATATTAACAATTTTATTCTCACAATTGATTGATCACTGGGTGGCGATCAATGTCATGCGTGTCTAGTCCTTGTTAGTGCAGATCAAATGCTATCGATCATGTTACACTGTGGCCACCAGTCTAGGTGACTCGACACTGCGGGCACTATATATTGAGATTAGATGGTGGTTGGAGGTAGTGGACAGGTACACCTTGCTGACGAGTGCCAAGTAGCACGAAACCCGGTTTCCTGTCGACTACCTCCAACCACCATATAATCACAATTTTATTCTATTTTGTTTGATAATCATTAATTCACATGCTTTAACTTTAAACTATGTACTTTACTCTTAACCTGTCCATTTTTCGGATTATTAATTTGGATCATTTAATTGTAGAACCTGAAGAGAATTTTTAGAAAAGAATATTCTTCATTCAATATATTAGTCTCTTAACTACGATCAGGATCTTTAAACGATTGAAATAACAATGAACAAAGTTGTTTGTTTGTTTACAGTCAGGCTATTTATTATTGTCATAATAACGAATAATAAATAAATAGACTCAAATCGATCTGTTATTGAATTTTAATTGATCTTAATCAGTTGAATCCAAGTGTACCCTCGCGTGATTTCAAAGAGAAAAAATTCCTTTTTTTTCTTATCATTTCATTTCATTAAAATATGTGAAATAATACAAAATCAATTTAGATTTAATAAGATTTCATTCAATAATATAGAAGTACAAAACGTTTTCAATGACTATATAGATCAATAAGCAAATACTTATATGTGTGTACTTTTAATTCACTTGTTGACTTTAAATAAAGATACAAAGATAATATAATTAATTATATATAGAATAGATAGAATCCAGGGCGAGTGTTTCGTCTTCTGTTAAATGAGAATACATGGGATTTGATGTTTACTCTGTGATGCCAAACCAATATCATTTGCTTCAAATGCAATCGCAATATTTATTTATTTACTGAGTTCAGTTAATCACTCACTTGTGTGGGTAATACAAACGATTGTACATTGAATCATATCATTAATTAGAGTTTAAAAACAATCATTTTTAATGTTTGAGCTGTCTGTGTTTGATTCAGTGAATTGACTATTTTAATGACAAAAGGGTTCCCATAAAACAACACAAATATGTATTGAATATGATTACTCTATAAATTCAATACCTTATACCTTATCAAGAAATAACAATAACATGAGACAATATCTGATCTGTTAACTAAATACAACTTTTGTATCCATTTACCAATTAACATGAAAATACAGTCAGAAAATGATAAAATGATAAATAGGAGTCTGTCCTCAGATGGAATCCACTATCCAATAGAATTATTGAAACCATACAACTGATACATACTTGCTGATACGATGGTTTAACTTTATGATGGCGTGTTCTACGAACCTGGTAGTTTAATTATTAAGTTTTCACTGCCTTCCTAGACAAAATCAGTACAAATCTCAAATAGAGGTATACTATTAGAATTTTTCCACAAATTTCGTCAGCAATACATTTGAATGATTCTATCCAGAAATCATTCGGTTATTGTTTGAATTTCTATTTTAATCGCTTTTCTCTCTATATAATTGTAATTTTGTTAGCATTTGAATCTCTTGACTAATACAGAAAACATCTATAAAATAAAACACCGATTGATGATTTAAGCTTCACTTCGTCCATTTTGTAATTCTACTTGGATTATCATGCAGAAATCATGATTAGGAATACTCACTAAATTATTCTAATCTCTAGTCTGCCACTAACATTACCAAATTTTAATGATTACTCTTTATATTCTTTTGTTTATATGTGTATACTGATTAGAATAATTAACATTGCAACTACTTACATTATCACCTTTTATTTTCAAAAGTAGTATTGAAGATTTCCTAATTATTTGTCTACCTGATAATGATAAGTGGTTAAATTTTGTTGTGATTTATAGTATTATAATAATATATATTCTGAAAATAATAATTACAGAATTCATGCTGGTTTACAGGCATGACCGGCTTTACATAGATAGTGTTTAATTTAAAAATTGTTTAGGTAGTACATTTTCCACATATATAACAGCTATGAAAGGTGTCAGCCAGGAAAATTTATTTCTTTTTACGTGGACATCTTGGTGATGTATGTGCTGAGCTATAACAAATCGATCATAATCATCTACAACTAGAGAAAATAGTTTTGATCTCTCATCATAGTTTAAAACCATATGGTTGTAAGAGGTATACGATCGCTTTTAACTACTGATAATATTTCGAACTAGCAGGTGAGCACTTTCTTATCTCCAAATGCTCAACTAAAATGTCTTGAATCTATTGTGAACCTATAAATAATCCGAGCAAGAAAGTCAATGTTCACAGTATTCAAATCTGTGCTCTACAAATCTTTAGGTGGCCGAAATAACATTTTATTACATGTGAATTATCACACTTCGATTGTAATAAAACAGTTATCTCATAAATAATACAATAGTTCACAAGTGATTAGAATACACTAAGTCAACTTATTTAACCCAATAGCAAACGATATAACAGGTGAAACTAAATACAAGACACAACAGTTCAGTTATCAAGTGAGATTTTTATGAATGTAAACTGAGAAGGAAATATATCACAATCAATGAGAATGTATCCATATTTTTTTTCACGGCATATATGTATATATAGACATTTTTTCATTACTGATCCCAATGAAGGTAAAAACAAAAGAGATGAATCAGTAAGGAAACAGCGAAAAAATTGTACTGAGACACTAGTACAACTTGAAGAAATCGTCTTAGTGGACAAATTAATTATTGATTGATAAATAGAAGTAATAGGAAGAAAAAAGAAAACATTGGATAATAAGTGTCAGACGTGATTACGTAATCATTTATATATGGGGTCATCTATTGAATACTGCCGACCGCTTTTTATAAGTAGAAGAACATTAAAGGCTAACCTCCCAAGACTAAAGTGAGTTTCTAAAAAAATGAAAGTGGATTTACAAGTCAAATGACGATAATGAGACAACAAACTGTCCATTTAGAAGTATGCCCTTGTGTATATGCGATGACGTGTCAGTGGCTACAAGTCTTTATACACTATAAAAGTAATTTATAAAACTAAAATGGGCATCAACAATTCAAAAAACAAGTAAATTGTAATTGTGATTAAATGAGAATTTTGTTTGACACATTAACAATCCAATAGTTATTAATTGTCTGTAGACAAACATCTAATTGTAGAATAAAATCATAAATTGGATATTTTCTGGTTTCAGCTGGATTATCATTGTTCTTATTATTGAAGTTGAGGTTCTTATGGAATTGCTTGGAATAATAGTACTGCATTTAAGTACAGATGAAAATAAATAAAACAGTTTTCTGTATGTGAAACGTAACTAAAACACAAACGAAAAGAAAAACAAAAAGAAATCAAATTATATGATGATGATGATAAAGTCAAGCAATTGAAAATGTGAGACATTAAAGAGAAAGAATGTATTTGTAAAATCTCAGCGAATGAATTTCCTTGGATTTACTTCAAAATTCAGTCGCTGGGATTTTACAAATACATTCTTCCTCTTTAATGTTTCACACTAACTCGGCGCTCAATTACTGTGAAACTATTCGATCAAATTTAGACGGAAGTTCTTACTTATTATTCTTCAGTTGAACATGTGTTTTAAAGTGGCCCAAGTTTTACCTGGAAATCTATATTGGTGCCGTTTCCTAATTTTTTGTGTCACCTTTAATTAGCAGTGAAGAGTAGAGGAAATAGTAGCGTCTGGTACTATGTCAAGCCCATACGGGTTATTCGAGCTTCGTAGAGACCAATTAGTTTATTCTTCTGGAGTCACATTTTGACCACGTCAATCATTTGCTTACAGCCTTGACTGTATTAATATGAGCGTATGTATGTGCACCGCTTACCCTATTCATCACATGTATTAAGCTTATCTTTGTCTAGCTATAAGTATTGAGTCACACTTGATCAAAAGGAGTTAGCATGTTTGTCTTATCCGGTCAGTTTCTCTGCTCCGTTTCCCTGATCGTCTGTCTGGGTCAACGAGTGTATGAAATAGACATATCCGAAATTCGTTCTCGCATTTGGATTATTTTATTCCGTTATTCTTTAATACGAATTAAGTCAGTAATTATATACGAGGGTTGGTAGCATGTATGTTTCGTTAACATCAACATTTGATCTATCTGGAGTCAGATCAACTGGCCACTAAAAAACAGTCCGCTTATGACAGGAAGTATTTACAGCCGGAATAACTTAATAACAAAGAATTAAATTACATCACTAAATGGATTGATATTAGGTAACAATATTCAGTAGTAATAAATTTATTAGATTCCGATGTGAATATGTGGTGTCCAATATCGATCGAATACTCTGAATCAATAGCACAAAGAAATTACAAGAGAATGGTATTGTCGTAATTATAGAGCATTTTCTTCTAAAAGAACTACAGCTAATTTGCTCACTACGAGTCAGGAGTATCTTTAATTTTGATGTTAACAAATCTTTTCTTACATGTTAATAAGAGACAATCATATGTATAGTTATCAAAGCAGATTCACATTGTAAAGAACGTAGATATAAAACATAGATTAAATCGATTATGATAACGGTGATAATACTTCGGTATGCAGAAATTTCATTAAAAAGCTATAAAGGAAACTGGCATCAGTATTTAGTGTTCTAATAAAAGTATCAATATCCAAATGTACAGAAGCATCAAAAATCCTCAGAATTATAATTTAATTTGGAGAGACTAAAAGCCCGATAGTTATGAAATACACAGAAACTTATTGCCTAAAACATTCAATGCGTTTTATTCGCTGAGCTGGTTAGTTTACTAGTAAAGCTTTCATCGTCTTTCTCGACAATATTATCAGTATACACCTCAATAGAAAGTGAGATATTAGAATAACTCGCTTCTTATTGAAGAGTGTGATGATAATGTTGTCGCGAAAGACAATGAAAGCTTTACTAGCAAACTATGTAGCTCAGATAACATATTCAAATCCTTGTCCTAAGCTAGAAATATTGCCGTCATCTCACTTTGAGTATTCCATTACTTAATTACGGATCTATTTAATTTGAAGTTCATTATAAATTGAAAATTATTCAAAAAGCAACGTGTTTTCATGAGTTTATAAATAATTCCATTAGAAATATAGACCACTTCAATCATATTAATCTCCTTAATTTACCAGCTGATGCATACCAAATAGGACGAAACATGAGTCCTAGATTCCACTGCTAGCTACCATCCATCTCTGCCTAATTCAGTAGTTCATGATTGATTTAAATATAGTTAAATATAGTAAATAATATACAGTTTACTAGATTACACAAAGAGCAACCAGCCAGTTTTAAATTTTACCACAGTGGTTTTTATCCAAGCTATTTTAAGTACGAATATTAATATCTCCAATTATTGTCGTTCTGGATTTTTTGAAATCAAATTAAATTGTTACTGAGATGTTCGGGCAGGTAAAATGTTTCATAGGATCGAAGTGAAATGAAAATGATGTGTAGTAGCTAAAGGCTCGTTTCATTTATCTTATTTATTTTGCATCGCTTTACAGGAAACTGTTAATTTTTATAAATCAATAATTTCTTTTGAACTTTTATAACAGAAATGAATAGTTCAGTTTAGAAATTTCTTTCAGGTACTCACATTCTCTAAACCGTCCGCTTTCATTTTTCTTGTAGTGCTGAAGCCTCTCTCACAAACGCACACATAAAAGTCTGTACAATTAAGCACTTCAGTAATTTTTTTCCCTTTTCAAATTACTACCAATTTTTACTCTGCAAAACGAACTCATACCTCAAACCAAACTAATCCTGATTATTTTTGGATTTTCTAACTTAGTATTCTTTTTTAAACCTATCTTATCAACCTTTGTTACTATTAATCTTCATCTCGTTACTAGGACTTCTATGGTTAATATATCCAATCTCTATAGCAACTCCATTTTAAGCGTTTTTAATGAGAATTATAATATTTGATTTTTTGCCCGGTTTTATGCTTCCTTGTTATTAAATGTGATGAATAAATAAACGTACTGTAGACCATCACTGTGAACGAGTTGAGTACGTTTTACTCATTGTGACCTTTTGAAAATGAAATCACCGCTGAAATGATCTTTTCACTTTCTAGTTTTATGACAAAATGGATAATTTCCATTTATAAACCTATTTAATGTTGCCTTTTTCTCTTCACATTTAAGAAGTTAGGTACTCAAAAGTGTTGAATAAGAATAAATGTGTACATCAATATAGAATTACCAGACAATGTTATTATGTCTATGAAGCGCAATGCACTGTATCAAAGAAATAAATAATTTTTTCCAAAAATTGGATACTTCCATAATAATATATATGAGGATTGATACCTTGATATGGTTAAGCTCGCCGTCTGAAAAACCCTATTTATTCTTAGAAGACCTGGTTTTTACAGGCAAAAAATCATCGTTTTTCTATCCCCTATTGATTTCTTAACACTTTTTCGACATATTTGTTGTAGAGAATTGTTTAAATTATTTTTTCCTTTTTTACTTGTTGACTGACTGTCTAATCATTGTTAAATTTTTCATTGTGAACTATGCATTTATACAAAACCATCTGTAAGAGAAAATAATTGATGGGGCTATGAGACTCGATAATATAAACATTTACTTCAAACCACTCTCATTTAAATTAAAACATATATTAATCTTTGCACTGATCGGCACCTTGATATTGTTAAGACTTCATTGTCAGTCGAACACTATGGAATGCAAGCTTCCAATCTGTCAGTTTTTGAAAATGGTTTATCCATATGATAAAATATAGTTGGTTCTAGGTGTTTAAAAAACATGAGGAACTAAACGATATTATATGTAATAATCAGCCAGTATTGGAAAATTTCGTTTCCAATATCTGAACTGTAACATATTTAACATAAGATTAAAATCCTAAAAAAAAAACAAATTTATTTAAAGGTTCAGATGAGATTTGCAAGATATTTGAAGGTTATTCAGACAAGTGGCGAGGGGATTATTTCGATACATTGGCTACAATTGTCCAGACTATTTTCAGTATGTTTGTTGAGGATATTGTTCACCAATTTTGGACATCCACATCAAGCAAATGGAGAATATTCACTATTCAACAATGAAATTCACTGCCTAAAGAAATTATTGTTTATTCTAAAATCATTTGTATTCATTCACCAGTCACAAACATAGACTTTGCTTATAAGTATCGTTACCAAGGTTTGACTTAATTTGGAATAAATCGAGCATTGGGCAGACTGTTAATAGTAATGAAATTATGATACATGTGTCATGACCAGATGAGTAGAAATTAGAATTTCTAAAAAGCGACGTATGCTCGTTATAAATAAATGAAAATATAGGATTAACTATGATACTCCGCTAGAAACGCACGATCTTACATACATTAAAAATTCATTTATTTAACTTCATAACAGAATAAAAACTGATCAGTACAGCATGCCCCCCTTTAAATCTAGCCTCTTGTAGTGCACTTAGATAAATATAAAGATATGCAGGTAATGTAAACCTTTACACAAGTCACTGTATATACAGATACACACAAACATACATAGATGCGCGAAACATATATCCTCACTTATATAGTACTACAATTCATATTTGATAAAATCAATTGAACCGATATAAATAAATACATCCATATCCGGTCATAATAATTACTTTTACGATTGCAAAGAATAAATTAAAATAAAAATATCGAGGTAGCTGAATTCAGTGAATAACTCACTCTAATGGAATTATGAAAATGAATAAAACTGAGAATTCTTAGGAATACACAATCGGCCAACAGAGAACCGTAACCTCATGAGTCAATAATTATTGATTATAATTATACCAATGTGATTAAGTAGAAGTTTAAAAAACCGTGCTAAATTATGAATTACCTAAACTTATAAATATGGATCAATAGACTGATGTACTCGCATAAAATCCTGAGAACTTTAAGTTCAGTCTCCAGTGATGTTATAGATTTGCATTGCAAAAAATCCTTATCTTAAACAAAACGACTGTACAGTATCTCTCATTAATCCATGTCTCATTGAATAATATCAGTTCGGGATGAAAATTTCAAGAATATTATCATCATATTTGGCTTAGATGGGAGGGCAAAGATTTGTGGCTCAGGAAGAAAAATAATGAAGCCTCTACAATTAAGGTATTCAAACCATAGGAAGCAAATTTACCAAAACCAGCTGACTATTGACAATTGTTTATACTTATTAAGGAATTGCTTTTTGTTTTTCATTTCTAATTTGTTGATTATTTCGTTCAGATTCCTATGTGGAGTTCTCTTCTACCACCTATGGAATCATTGTTACTTCGTAGAGGATATAGTCTCATTGCATTAATGTTAAGTGTACCAACGTGGATGATATTTTTCTATATGTTATTATTTCTATTTTGATCAATTCAGACCAATTTTTTCGTAGTTTACTGCAAAGTACCCAATGCTTTGTACATTTGGTGAGAAACATTATTATAGCATAATAATAATGAGTAAACCACAAGCCATTAAATTACTTTGGATGATAATTGATTTTTAGAAAATAACCAAAGCAGGAGTTTGAATTTACGTATTGTTGGAATTGACCAGTCTCTTTTGGGATGTGTATATCCTATTTGGATTGACCCAATATTGCCACTAACTCATAATTAAGTCTTAAATACGACGAAACACGAGTTGTAGATTGCACCATAAGTCACTATTCAATGTTACTGATTGGTATCTAATTTTTAGGAAGGCAGGAGTTTCTAATGTGAAATCTTACTGTACTATAGCAACAAGGATTCAGTGACTGATAGATACACCGAAAAACTCATCAAAGTAATTCAATTAAAAGTAAATTACTTGATAATAACTAATTAACTTGTATGACCTAGTCCTATAAACAGTCTAATAGGATGTAAAAAGTTCCGTTTCATAGTCTCAGACTGAGATCCAAGAATAGACGAGAACCAAGGTTTTAAACAAATGTAATTCCTTTCATGCTATAAAAAGATATCATTTAAAATTGATTATCAAAAATCTGATTGGTTTTTATTTTAATTACCGTTCTCGTTAGGTATCATGTTCAAAAATCCATCTTACTTCTCTTTGTAAAGTTGTAATACTTTATCTTGTACTGCATTACATTTAGAAGTTTTTCTATTTAATCCATATACCTATAAAATCGAAAACCAACTACCAGTTTTTGAGATCTTTAAAATCTAATGTACTCACTACTTAACATGTAATTTTTAAATCTGAATCCCTGAAACAATAAATGATAAGAACTAATAGAGAGAGATGCTTCAACTAAAGTGAAATACATATCTTACTACTTAAGGATTTTTACTAATTGCTTACATAATATTAATGGAAACAATTCATCACATACACAAACACAATTCAATTATATAAACAATACAACCATTCACATTGATAAATGTGTATTAACCAACTAAAGTAAATATAATCATATATCTAATCTTACCAACCAAAACGTTTTCCAACTACACATTGCCATGTTCCACCATAACGTTTATCAAATTCTTGTTTAATATATTTAGCTATATCTCTATCATCTGTAAAACGTTCACATGCTGCTGCACAACAATCAACAGCTATACATTGCATAGATTCTGGCATATCAGTTGATTTGATTTTTGCACTATCCTGATGACTACTCATGATTTAATTCCAATTAAACACTTCGACTTCTTCACTTAAGTTATTTAAAATTGTTATCTTTTTTTTCTTCTTTTGATTTAATAAGGTAAGCGGGCACGTGGATCTAATGATGAATGGATGAATAAGTAAATAGATAGATAGATGGATGGATAAACAGACAGACACAACTAACAAATTAGAATGTATGTGTATGAGTTTATCCATTGTGTTCGGTAATGATGATAGTAATGCATAAATTAATAATAGATCATTATCAAATAGGTTGAGTAACTACTACTTCTTAAGTTTAATACATCGAATGTCTATTCCTTCAGAACATCTTGAACCAATAAGATTTGAGTCATATCTTATTATCTTCTAAGGAATAGTGATTAGTTTTGTAAAGTAGTGAGAGAGAGAGGGAGAGCAACAAAATTTTATTGAATGATAAACAATGAATGACCCAACAAAAAAAATAATGGTGTTAACGTTTTAAAATTGGCTGATGTTTACAATTAGACACATATATTAATTTAAACGAATAAATCATTTATCATAGAGATAATAATTTTCAATGGGATAGTAGTACAAGGCAAAATATTGACCACTTAATTATGCTGTAAAAGTGATAAATAAAAATAAGTGAAAATTAATCACCTTCAAACTAATTGCTACTAACTGGTTATATATATACATGATTAGCATCTAAAAATTCGGAATTAATGAGGGGGTTTTGCGGAGATTTCTAGATTTTCACGGTTTATACTGTTGAATCATCTCAATGTAAAATTCTAATACATATTTGGTTGTAAGCAGCTGACGAGAAATCTCGAAATATTATGAATTCATACTGTTCTGCATCAATATTTGTTATTGCTTTATTTGAATCATGTTAGTTAGAATATCATTGACAACTAAGAATTATTTTGGTCCATTACATAAAATGTTAAGCCATATCGATGATCGAAGTAACGAATACGAAGAATCAGTTTGGTAGAATAGATCCTATTGACTTTGACTATATGTAGTCAATGTATACGTCCAACTTTTCAAGAATGGATTTCCGACTAGAAGATTCACTTGTTTACATGGAATGTACAGATGACATAGTCATGCTTGGTGAATACGTTGACAAAGTGTAGTTTCATGAGAACAATCTAACCATGTTAATGATGTGATTCGCTGTTTAAATGCAGTGTTACTTCAGGACTTGAACTAATAATAAGAACTGGGTTAGTGAAGCATATTGACGAATTCACTTATCTCTGAAGTCTCATCAGCCCTGGTGGTTTGATGAAATCCCCGTACAGATTCAAAAAACTCAGTTGGATTTAGCTAACTTGAGTCACCTATGGAGAGGATGAGATATCCGCCTGAAAGCAAAGGATGGATTAATTGCATAGCAGTCTGCTCTGAACAACTTCAATGTTGTGAACCGTGGCCTTTGAAAATAAAGAATATTTGTAGGTTACTGGTATCCTACTATAGATGCTTTTGAAGCACTGCTAGCGCAGACTGAGGCCTTTGATCGACCAATTTTGAGGTTGGAAATAGAACACTACGCGGAGATAGCGAGTCGGCTGATGAGGTCATGAATCTTCATCAAGTGAGATGGTTGAGACATGTATTACTCGTGTCCAACCACCAACTACCTTGATGAATGATGTTATCTGGTGTATTTGGTTGTAAGAAATCAAGAGGCATCCAAAACAAAACTTTGCACTAGCCCATGCAGTTTTTAACTGATAAACTGGGCTGTGTATTTAGGTCCAGACCATTTGATCGGCTTCCATGAGATTACTGTAAAGAATTTTTGGAGATGACGATTGGTATGACTCGAGATCAATCCAAATGGCTTAAGTGTACCTACTCTTTGTCTTCCCTTCGGTCTTAAGTTTTAAAACTATCTTATATTTTGTCTGCGAATTCACTTTTTATTTCCAAAGTATATTATCAATACCCAGGCTTTGCTTCGAACACTGATACTGCGACTACTTTTAGTAATACGAGACTTATCTTGATAACTTCATTTCACCGTGCTAATGTGGTGTAGCAACTTGAGCCAATGCACATATCTCTCAGGTCCCAAGATGAGTATAACTGACTCAATGATGCAAACTATGTCGAAAACTGAAATAAATTGGATAAATCACTCGAATCAGGTTAATATCCTGTTTATTAAATAAGCAAACATAGAGGTTCTAACTGACTTTTCTCATTCTTTAAACCATGAAAGATAGTTTTCTAAAGATTTATTAACTTGATGAAGCATAGTACATAACGAATAGGATATTTAGAAAGCTTTTACGGATACAAATTACAAACAACTTGATTAACGTTTACAGGAATTTTATAATCAAAGTACATAAATATCACTAGTCAGAAAAACTTAAAAGCTTCCTTGTCCGCAATTCTAATTTCTAATGGTTATTGTACGGAAAGTTAGATGTCGATTAAATTTAAACAGCACTAGCCTAAAAACAACTTCATGAATTGTTATGTTCAATAAATCATAGATATGCAATGTATAGTAATAAAATTAATTGGTTTAACTTACAGAAGATTAATCATTAAATTATTGGATAAATTCTGAAACATTTCGATTTTTAACGGTCAAGAGTTACAGGGTAATAGATTGATGCACAAACATGTATATGAATATTTGAGCCATCAAGTATAGAATATGATAATACAGAGAAAAAGTAGAAATATAGCGTAGGGATTACACAGAGCTATCGACTAAATTTACAAACGACCAATATGTTATATGCTAATTACAAATAGCTAGTACGAGGCTTACCTGAACAGTTTCAGAGTAATACTTTGTCACATCGATTATGAAATTCACCCATTTTTCAAAAAGCGTGTTAAATACATGCACAAATAAAAGATACGGAGTGACGCTGTATATCATGTGTGTGCATGGCGGGGGGTATAAACGGGCCTGATTTTTGGATCTCAAAGATATTCTTTGGTGAATGATTTGTGGAATTAAAGTTCGACGACCGTTTACTTTTTATACAAAATCTGTTTACTGTGAGGAGAACTTTCACATTGACTAATCCAGTTTTGTGAAAAGTCTTCACTCAGCCATACCATTTACTTCAAGTCACACGTTGGACTATAAAATATACACAATATTTCTCATTGTGATAATACACTGAACAGTTTTCCGACTGCTTTATGGGATAAGAACTTTCTTAAATGTGAAACGTCAAAGAAATTGAAAACATTAAGTAAATGTACACTAAATAAGGAAAAGCGTTTTTTTAAAAATAGTTTTATGAGAAAGAACATTTCAGTGAAAAACAAAAATATGTAAAAAAGCTTACAATTATAAATGATGTACAATACGTTAAAATATTTGAAACAATTATTTTCTACAGAAGAAATATGAAACTTCTTAAGCGCAAACAGACATATGCGAGATTACATCATAAACGCATACCAAGATAAAATCTCTAACAGTTTGCGGTGAAAGAATAAAATTGGTGTAAAAATAAGAACAAGGATGCTATTACAGATACGAAACGATACAAACAAATAAAACTAAGATTAAACAATGGATTTATCGAATTTATTATGGTCGATTCCAGCAATATCAACTAGTACGTTTAATTACAAATTAGTATACATCCCACATATCCTGATAAACGAATTACTGTATTAATGTAGTGCTTTGGGGTTCAGCTACCATCTTTTTCTAAAATCAGTTTAATCTTAACACAATCACATGTCTAATTAGACAAGATTTTCACAACATATATATTTGTCAAATGCCTGAGGCATAAGTTCATAGATTGATCGATCGTTTTACTATATAAGAGTATTGCATTAAAAGTACTTACTGTCATATGATTACAACCTTGTTCGCATTTAATGACACGAAATAAGAAGAATCGATAATCTAAATTAATATATATTTCAATGAAAACGTCTTATCCCTTGAAAAGTCTTGAACAAATACTTTGGCAAAATATCAAGTGTATGCTAATATATATATATATATATATATATATATATATATATATATATATATATATATATGAACTATTTCGTTATTTGGTTAAGCGTATATCACTTATTATGTTTACATATTGGATGATTTTCACACAGATTTTGTGTATTAGCCAAAAGAACATTTATTGGAATTCTGTTAATCATACCGTCGATTAATTAAAAATGAGAGATATTGAAATAATTTTAAAATATTAGTTCTTCAGTGTACATTTAGTCATTAGCACTATCTGTACCCATAAATGGTCACTTTTTCCTAAATTTGACCTGAAGCTATTGTCAATAAAGTTGATCACAAATCTGCAACTAAAATAACTCAGTGAGTCAGTCATACACAGCGTAAAACCTGGCACATATGTATATCACGTCAAGTTATCACAAATAGATGAAACTGTCAGAACGAATCCCCTAGTGTAGGTAGTAACAGGTTTAGTGGTGATAGAAAAAACTAGGCATAACCGATAGAATTTGAGGGAATATGGATTAGTCGGATGAAGAAAATTTACAAGACAATTTAGAACATCTCGATCAAAGGGAAGACAAATAGTAAGTGCACCTCCGCCACTACGAAGGCCTTTGAGCCGCATCACCTAAAGTCTAACCACTGGTTGTGATAATTACGCGGACATCGACCAAGTAGTCCGCATCTACCTGTATGGCTCAGTCCAATGATTAGTGTCCAAATGAACTGATGTCACATCTAGCTCTCACCCAACCTACGAAACTACATAATTCGAGAATAACACAATTTTATGCTTTGATTTGGGTTAAGATAAGAGATATTAATTCGCTTTTTTTAATTTTGAACAAAGATTTCAAACTTTTCTGAAAGGGACTCAGCTTCTATAAAAACCCATCTTCTCACTAACAGTAGCCACATTTTGAATCTTTTAGACAAAAGTAAGATAATTTCAGTGTGATTCCTATTTATACATTGAAAACTACTGCTCAGTAAATCGTTTTGGCCAATTAAGCAGTTTATACTAACACCTAGTTATATATGA